CAAGAGTCAGACATTTAACCGATTGAGCCACCCAGGTGCCCCCCGCCTCTTTTTTTCATTTTCTTAACATATTTCAATTGACCCAACTTTAAAGTCATTAATACCGTCTTCTGATATGTCTCCTCTCTTGTAAATCCCATGCAATGAGTTCACGATCTCTGATGTTGTATTTTTAGTTTTAGTATTATCCACTGATTTTTTATAATTTCTCTTTGTTATTAGTTCTACATCTTTTCATCCATGATATCTATCTTTTCCTCTATCTTCTTCTACTTACTATTTTTTTCTTGAGACAGAGAGGGCACAAGTGAACGAGGGGCAGACAGGGAAAGAGAGAGAGAATCCTACAAGGGGCAGAGAGAGAGAGAGAGAGAGGGAGGGAGAGGGAGGGAGAAGCAGGGCTTGAGCTCACCTGATGCAGGCCTCCAACTCATCAACTGTGAGATCATGACTGAGGCACCAGGCGCCCCTCTACTTACTTTTTTGATATTTTTAAGAAAGAGAAGAAAGAATCCCAAGCAGGCTCCACGCTGTGTGGAGCACAAACCAGGGCTCAATCCCACAACCCTGGATCATGACCTCGGCCAAAGTCAAGAGTCAGATGCTCAACCGATTGATCCACCCAGGCACCCCATATCTTTTCCTACTTATTAATAATAGTTATTTCAAAGTTATTATCTGTCCATTCCAATATCTGAATCATTCATAAGATTTCTCCAGTACTTTTTCTTTAATCTTTATTTATTTTTGAGAGAGAGAGAGAGAGAGACAGAGCGTGAGTGCGTGAGGGGCAGAGAGAGAGGAGACAGAGACTCCGAAGCAGGCTCCAGGCTCTGAGCTGTCAGCACAGAGCTGGACATGGGGCTCTAACCCACGGACCATGAGATCACGACCTGAGCCGAAGTCAGGCCCTTAAACGACTGAGCCACCCAGGCGCCCCTTGGATTTCTCCAATACTTTATATCCTTCTGGACTTTTTATGTGTACTTGTTCTATCTGCTAATAATAGAAGGGAGTTAGTTAAAATCTCCAATTATGATTGTGCATTTTTCTACTTCTCCCTTTAGCTCTATCCATTTTTAAACAGCTTTATTGAGGCATAATTCACATGCCATTGAATTTGCCCACTTAGGTGTTCAGTTCAGCGACTCTCCGTGAATCGGTAGGTATGTGTCCCTCATTAAAGTCCAGTGTCATCACTGCCAGATGTTCCCCCCACTTCCGTTGGCAGTTAGTCCCCACTTGTAAGCCCGGCCTAAGGCAACCAGAAGTCTGGAGATTTTCATGTAAATAGAAAATCCAGTCTAGTCTTTCGTGACTGGTTCCTTTCTTGCGGCAGCTACGTCGTGCGTCTTTTTATCGCAAAAAGGTATTTTATTGTATGGACATAGCATGTTTTCCTTAGCCACTCACTAGCTGTTTTGAAATTTTTCCAGCATTTGTTTATTATAATTCTAGGAACTCACATACTCTGCAAGGTTGGGAGGCTGTCTTGTAGGAAGCTCTATATGCCCCGAATCAAGAACTGTCCCTCCCGCACTTGTAATGCCAAGGGTCCAATCTAAAAATAAAAACCACTGTAAGTAAAACAGGGAACTTAATGTGGGAAGTTGGTGACACAAGTGATAGGAGGGATGAGGTGCCAGAGAGGGTGGGGAGGCGTCCCAGATGCGAAAGCCAAGGTGCAGAAGCAGGAATCCATGACCGTCACTCAGCAGGGGGACAAAGGGAGGAGGTGTTTACCGGATCCCCGGTCCAGGGTCAACCAGCGGAAGCTGTAACCACAGCATGTCTACTTAAGAACAGCTGGAGTGACAGAGGAGACACAGCCATTGCTGGAGAGGTTACCTGAGGCCCAGACGGAAGAAATATTTTGTTTTTGTTTACTAATCTCACACCCTTCAGTTTCCCCTCGGTTTCACCAGATTCATCTAGAAGCACTTGATACAGGAGACTGGGATACACCTGTGGGCCAGGCTTCCCCAGCCCTGGGAGCAGAGCAGGGAAGGTAGAGGAAGGAATGGGTCTGAGGACCAGGGTCCAGGGTCAGCACGGTCCACCCACTCTGTTATTTGTCACCCTTCCTTCTCATCCTCCCGTGATACACATGTGACAGTAAGGTGACAATGCTGTCCTGCCTATCATGAATGGGCGAATCCCACAGTGACACTCTCATCCTCTCCCCAACAAGAGAAAATACAAAGTCCTAGAGGTCCTCGTCTCAAGTCTAGGGTCTCTAAGCACAACGTGGCTTTGCTTGATCTCATGATCTATGAACTGAATTCTAAAACAAAACCTCGCCAATCAATGTTCCATATCAAAACAAAAAATAGGGAAGGAAAATTTGTTGAAACGCAACAAAAATATACACAGCAGGTACAGTTGCCAGGTATTCACCATAAAACGCTGGCTGATACCAAAAAAACTTTTTCTCTGCCCCCGTTGCACGTTATGCTTGCCATCAGCAAGCTACTGGTGGGTCAAGGTTCTTTCTTCATCACTGAAGACTGAATTTCTAGCAGTCCTGTCCTAATGGGTGCTTTAGCCTCCCACGGGAACTCGCAGGGAAATACTACGAGGCTTGTCAGTGAATCTGTCAGGCTCCATGCAGAGTCACCTGGCCCCAAATGTGTACCAGCAATTCCTTAATTCTGCAGATCAAACACTCCAGCAGTAATGGTAACCTCCTTCTCTGTCGATTCCCTGGCACAAGACGCTCAAACGGCGTCAAGGACCTGTAATTGTGACGTTTGACAGGAGCCCAGGGTGCAAGGACAGAGAGCAGAAACCGCACGTGACGTCTCCTCTCTCCCGCCGCCTCTCTCAGCGGCTCCCAGCCAGATTCCAGCTGCTTTTCTAAAAAAAAATTTTTTTTTTTAGCGTTTATTTATTTTTGAGACAGAGACAAAGCATGAACGGGGGAGGGTCAGAGAGAGGGAGACACAGAATCTGAAACAGGCTCCAGGCTCCGAGCGGTCAGCACAGAGCCCGACGCGGGGCTCGAACTCACGGACCGCGAGATCATGACCTGGGCCGAAGTCGGCCGCTGAACCGACTGAGCCACCCAGGCGCCCCCCAGCTGCTTTTCTTACGGCAGTTGTTTTCAAGACTGGACCCTGACCAGTAGGCCAGACAACAAATTCCACGAGACACTTCAGAATAATGAAGAGCTCCCCATATGGGCTGCATGAGAAATTTGGGGTCAAGGTCATCCCCCAAAGCAATACTGTGTTAACCTAGGCCCTAACTCTTAATTTTGATACAGCCCCATATTCAAATAACATTTGCTCTTGGATGTGAAATCTGAAGACCATTGTCCACGAGTCTCCCTTTGTCTGATGAAAACTCATTTTTCTGTAATTCTAAACGTTACAATCATTCAGGAAAGGATTCTGACATTGTCAGGCATTACCAAGGAGAGGAATTACTAAAAATTCTAAACAGAGGTAGAGGGAACATGCATAGTAGATGGTTTCAACAGAGACAAGTTAGCAACGCAAGAAAATCACACATATAGGGAGTGATACGAAGCTCTGAATTTCACCAACATTCAAGACAGGTTTTGGCATTTTCAAATACATTATTTAAAGATTTGGGGCACCTAAGGGGCGTCTGGGTGGCTCGGTTGGTTGAGTGTCCGACTTCAGCTCAGGTCAAGATCTCGCAGTTCATGAGTTCGAGCCCGGTGTCGGGCTCTGTGCTGACAGCTCAGATCCTCTGTCCCCTTCTCTCTCTGCTCCTCCCCAACGCGTACGCGCCCTCTCTTTCAAAAATAAACATTAAAGAAGAAGAAGAAAAAATGCCCCTGAAAAATAACAGGAGGATATGTTTTGTGGGTATTTTATTTTATTAAATTTTTTAAAATGTTTATTTATTTTTGAGAGAGAGAGGATGAGCGGGGGAGGGGCAGAGAGAGAGGGAGACACAGAATCTGAAGCAGGTTCCAGGCTCTGAGCTGTGAGCACAGACCCTGACGCGGGGCTCAAACCCACGAACTGCAAGATCGTGACCTGAGCTGAAGTCGGACGCCCAACCGACTGAGCCACCCAGGAGCCCCTTGTGGGTATTTTCTTTTCGCCAGCTCCACTTCTCATCTGTTTAGATGACGAGCAATGCAGTTCAGAGTTTTTCTTTTGCTCACTCGGTCAGACGTTAACTTGTATTCTTGCCTTTGCATGTTTAATGTGAACAATCTGGATGTAACTGGCGACTCAGAAGAGGCAGGAGATTTTATTGAAAAATTCCAGCTTCTGTTATTGAACACAGGGCATGGTAAGAGTTCCCAAACTCATTTGCATGTGCCAAAAAGTTCTGGCAATATAACTTAAACTATTTGTTAAATAACAACGAAATCATTTGGTCTGGCTTACCTTCTATTATGGTACAAGACAAACGATATACATTGTGCAGCACCCTTGAGAGATGCTGTGCTATAAACATGACATATACCATATTCACAGATTAATTTCACATATGCTATGAAACTATATAAATTCACAAGATGTAGCCATACTCAGGAATATAAGCCCTATATTTGTCTGAAGCAATAGGCTTTCTACTTGGCTGTCAAGATTACTGAACATACTCATACACAGACATACATATCTTTAAAGCTTCATAAGCTTATCACTTAAAATAGAATATATAATCTTTTTTTCTAAAGATGCAATACCGTACTTGGAAATTGATTTTTTTTTTTTGACATTGCTATGGACAAATTTTCCTGTATTCATTTGAGTCATTATTTTTGTCCTCGATATGAATAACTTGATTTATGATGAGACTAGACCATTTGCTGAGCGCTTGTCTCTACTGCCTTTGCCACATTCACTGCACACATAGGCTTGCTCTCCAATTTGGCATTCTGACGTTCAAGGAAGTAGAACTTCCTGCCAATGACCTTCCTACACTCGTGGCATTCGCAGGATTTTTATAAATGTTTTATGGTATAGAGAGAAGGGCGATTATTTTCTTAAAAGTGTCTCACACTCGCTCTATTTCTAGGGTTTCTCTTCTGTGTGAGTTCTCTGATGTATCATGAGGTGTGATTTCTGGGAAAAAGCTTTCCCACAAGTGCTACATCCATAGGGCTTCTCTCCTGTGTGAGTCCTCTGATGTATGATGAGCTGTGACTTCCAAATAAATGCCTTCGTGCATTCCTTACATCCATAGGGCTTTTCTCCTGAATGAGTTTTCTCATGTCTGAGGAGGAGTGACTTCCCACTGAAGGCTTTCCCACATTCGCTGCACCCATATGGTTTCTCTCCTGAATGAATTCTCTGATGTTTATGGAGACTTGACTTCTCTCTGAAGGCTTTCCCACATTCATTGCATTTACTGGGCTTTTCATCTATATGGGTTCTCTTATGAGTGATAAGTTGCGATTTCCCACTAAAGCCTTTCCCACATTCACCACATGCATACGGTCTCTCTCCTGTATGACTTCGCTGATGAATAATGAGCTGTGACGTCTGAGAAAAGACTTTGCTGCACTCACTGCATTCATAAGGTTTCTCTCCTGTGTGAGTTCTCTGGTGTGTAATGAGATGAGACTTTCTAGAGAAGGCCTTCCCACACTCACATCCATAACGTTTTTCTCCTGTGTGAACCGTCTGATGTGTCACAAGGTGTGACTTCTGGGAAAAGGCTTTGCCACATTCACTACATTTAAATGGTTTCTCTCCTGTGTGTGTTCTCTGATGTACAATGAGTCGTGACTTCTTGCTGGTGACTTTTCCACAATCATTACATTCGTAGCATTTTGCTCCAACGTGAGTTTTTCCATGTTCGGTATAGAAAAAGGATTTCTCATATCCATTGAATTTACCAGGTTTCCTTCTTCCACGGTTTCCAGCCTCACTAAATAAACCTAACGAGTGTTTCAGATGTTTTCCATTTGAGACATGCTTACTGGACTTTTGCTTTAATGGTGCAAGGTTCACGCTGGATTGGAATGTTTTTCCACTGGCATTAGTTTCATGGACTTGTTCCGATTTTTTAATCCTGTCTTGGAGTTCTTGGTGCCAAGCTTTGTAGTCGTCAACTTTCCAGTATTCTAGAAAGGAGAATGACAAACATATTTTGTGGATTCAATAATCGTGAACCAGGTGAACTAGAAGTGCAGAAAACATCATGCACAACTACACATGTTTGGGAATTAAAATTAAAAAAAGTGCTCTCATGGAAACTGAGGTAGAAAACTAATAATAGATAAGGAAAAGGGGGAAAAAAAAACCTTTGACTAAATAGGTTGCTAAAGGCCATGATATAATAATCTGTCCTACGCAAAGGTAGGGTTTTATCTGAGCACAATCTGCACTAAAAAGCTGCACTACAAGGTAGAAAATGATGACACCAAAGTTATTCCTTTGGTCATAGGCATAGAAGGAGTAAACTTCCATAAAAGAAATCAAGTAGAGAATAGAAGGAATGACCACAGGTATATAATAGTAATCTGAGGCATTTAACAATAAAAAGGGAAAGAAAATAGGAGGGAATTAGAATGATGAGAAGAAAAAAACACAATGAATTCTCGGTACCAGTGAAAAGACAAGGGATCTATCAGCAGGATACGTTTGTGGCGTGGAGAGGGAAAAAGAACACACACGGTCTGAGGTGAGAAGGGTTGCGCTCCTTAGTACAGACCAGAGGAGCGTAGCTCACTCTAAAATCAAAGCAAAGACGGACAGATTATCCTCATACAGACAAGTGATCTATATAAGATCTGGGTATCTGAGAAGTTCATATCCGTGGTTCTGAGTCCCTTCTAAAGGTTTAGTGATTGGAGAATTATCTAAACAGCATTTCAAAGGTGCCCATCCCTCACTGTCTTTACGTCCGCTGTAAACTGACATGTATTTTTTTATTAAAAATTTTTTAATTTTTTTTTTATTTATTTTTGAGACAGAGAGAGACAGAGCAGGAGCAGGGGAGGGGCAGAGAGAGAGGGAGGCACAGAATCCGAAGCAGGCTCCCAGCTGTCAGCACAGAGCCCAACGCAGGGCTTGAACCCACGAACCGTGATATCGTGACCTGAGCTGAAGTCGGACGCTTAACCGACTGAGCCACCCCGGCGCCCCTAAACTGGCATTAAAATTCCACCTTCTCACAGGTGACTCACCCGACAAGCTCTGACTTGGGACCTCTTCGCCTATTATCCAAGGCTGCTCTCGCTCCAGTTTGAAGATCACATCTGGTTTGATAAGTTGAAACCCTGTATATGAAAAATCACACATGACTTGAGCCTAATTTATTGGGCTTCAGACTTCTAAGAATAAATAAATGCTTAGTTTCAGAGGCTGTGCAGGGAGGCCTTCCATCTGGGATGAGTGTGCACTCAACACAAAAAAGCGCTGAGAATTCGTGAATTCTTAAGCTAAAGCCTAAGTCATTGCACTCTTCAAAGGCCCCCGTTGATAGTAAGCGAAGAGGAAATGGCAAGTGCCGGGCAGAGCCTGAGTCCGCACAAGATGTCCTTACCCAGGGACACGAGACTGCTCACATTCTCCAGCATCACATTTCTGTACAAGTTCTTCTGAGCAGAGTCCAGGAGCTGCCACTCGTCCTGTGTGAAGTTCACGGCCACATCCTCCAATGCCAATGACCCCTGAAAGAGCATGTCCCTACTGAATCTGAAGAAATGGATACCATAATAAAGGAAAGGCGGCAAGGCCCTGGAGTGGGAGCCCCCAGGAGCCGTCACGCAAAAGTGCCCAGTTCCCAGTAACGAATCGCAATTGCTCTGAGCCGGATGCCGGTTCCCTCTGTTCTTGTCTCTCTTACAGCTGGAGTCAGTCACGTGACTGTGTGCTGGAGATGGGACCTAGGAGGTGTGTGAGGGCCATCGGCGGGGAAGCTGCCGATTTTGGGTAAAAGAGATACTGATTTTGCCCTCTGCCCCCTCTACCTTTCTTCCTGCTGTTACCGCAGACGTTGCCCTCAGAGCTGCTGCAGCCACCTTGGGCCGTGAGACAATGTGAGTGAAGTTTGGCAGAGCAGAAACCTGGAAACATTCTGTCCTTTATGATACCGGTCATGAGCTGTGCCAGCCCAGGACCGTCTACTTCCGGGTGTCTTGCAGGAGAAAGTTCTATGGCCTTATTATCAGAGCTCCCACTATTTGTAAATGAAGTCATCTCTGATACACTGATTTTGACCATTCTTATCAGGATTCAGTACACAGGCTTTTTATCATATGCCTAGATTTGCATTATACCTTACTGGAGAAACAGAAGTCTTAAAAATCCTGTAGTGTTTTAAGTAAGATAGTATGACCCCGAATGTTTATCCACCCACAAGTGTGTGAGGTTCCACTCTGGTGTCATCAACACGAAGGTGAACAGGATTCACTCTGTCCTCACAGGGCCCTCAATCTTGTCGCCAGGTCAAGTTACCACAGACGCTGGGGCCGGAGAACATACGTGGTTTAAACACAACTGTAAGGGGTTATCATTTACTCCTTAGATCGGCAAAAGTGAAAACTTTTCAATATCCAGACAAGCCAAGAATACGGATGAATGCACTGCGGGTGTGGCTGGTTCAGAGTACCTTCTGTGTGCCAGCACCGGGGACAGAGTCACCTTCTGTGTGTCAGCAGTGGGGACAGTCACCTGTGTGCCAGCACTGGGGACAGAGTCACCTTCTGTGTGCCAGCACTGGGGACAGTCACCTGTCTGCCAGCACTGGGGACAGAGTCACCTTCTGTGTGTCAGCAGTGGGGACAGTCACCTGTGTGCCAGCACTGGGGACAGTCACCTTCTGTGTGTCAGCACTGGGGACAGAGTCACCTTCTATGTGCCAGCACTGGGGACAGTCACCTTCCGTGCACAAGCAGTGCTGTCCGCCCGGCTTGCACCTTAGAGCAGGGGCTGCAAATTGCCAAGCCCAGTCAGCACTTAGATGCTAAAATAAAGCTTCTTGAAAGCCAGCTTCCAGCCATCTGTTCACGTACGATCCATGACTCTCTTGCAGGACCGCAGAGGAGGTGAGCAGTTGCACCAGGGATGTGTGGCCGGAAAAGCCTAAAATATTCACCTTCTGCTCCTGCCTTAGAGACTTTCTTGTACATGTCCACCAGGCAGTAAATACACTGGTGTTTAAAACAGCAAATCTGACAGACACCCGGGTGGCTCAGGGGGTTCAGTGTCTGACTTCGGCTCAGGTCATAATCTCGTTGTCCGTGGGTCTGACCCCCGCGTCAGGCTCTGTGCTGACAGCTCAGAGCCTGGCACCTGTTTCGGATTCTGGTGTCTCCCTCTCTCTCTGCCCCTCCCCCACTCACACTCTGTCTCTTTCAAATGAATAAACGTTAAATAAATAACCGAACAGGGGTGCCTGGCTGGCTCAGTCCGTTGAGTGTCTGACTTTGGCTCAGATCATGATCTCACAGTTCGTGGGTTTGAGCCCCATGTCAGGCTCTGTGCTTATGGCTCAGAGCCTGGAGCCTGCTTCGGATTCTGTGTCTCCCTCTCTCTCTGCCCCTCCCCAACTAGCACTCTGTCCGTCTCTGTCTCTCAAAAAGTAAAATAAAAACGTTAAAAAATACACAAATAAATAAAATAAATTGTGAACTAATTCAACTCACTTCTAGAAAAAACCAGAATGATAAACCTCCACCCTAGTTTCTAAAGGAAAGAGTCTATATACTCTGGAAAGTGAACAAAAGGAAGCAAGTTATACTTCAGTTTCCACCATTTTTTATTTACAACATCTAGAATGCAGTAAAATATATATACAAAGAAGTATAAAAATGTGACCAAGAACTACGGCCACAGAAAGTAAAACCAGCCAACAGAAGGAGATCTACAGATGCCTAAGTTATGTGAATTAAGAGACAGACTCTAAAATAACAATACTAAATATGTTGAATAACTTAGAGGAAACATGGATATGATAAGTGAAGGGATGGAATATTTCAGGAGAGAAAAGGAAATTAATTTTTTAAAAAAGAACCAAATAGAAACTCTAGACTGAGCAGCTGATATTAAGTACTTACCAAATGGACTTAACAGCAGATCTGATGTTATGAAGGAAAAGATTCATGAACTTGAAAATCGATTAATAAAAACCATACAGGGGCACCTGGGTGGCTCAGTCGGTTAAGCGCCTGACTCTTGATTTCGGCTCAGGTCATGATGTCACAGTTCATGAGATAGAGCCCCGCATTGGGCTCTGTGCTGACAGTATGGAGCCTGCTTGGGATTCCCTCTCCCTCTCTCTGCCCTTCCCCTACACTTGCTCTCTCTGTCTCAAACTAAATAAAATAAAGTTAAAAAAAACAACAACATACAAAGTATAAAGTATTGGAAACAATGTATCAAGTGTCAGTGACCTGTAGGACAATATAAAAACATCTTATACACCATAATTGGAGGGTCAGAAGAAAATAGGGCAGAAAAAATATTTGAGTAAATAATGGCTGGAAATGTTCCAAATGGGAAGAAAAACATTCCACAGACACAAGAAACTCAAAGTATCCCAATCAGGATACATATAAAGAAAACCAGACCGAGGCTCATCAGAGCCGAATTGCCCAAAACTAAAAATAAAATCTTAAAATCAGCCAGAGCGTAAGACACAGTACATTCCAGGGATCAACATAAGAGGGATGGGACCACTGACCTCTCACCAGAAACAATGCAAGCCAACGTAGAATGGAATGTCCAAAATGTTCAAACAAACAAAAAAATCTAGCATGTTTTTCAGGAAAAAAACCCAAAACAACCCTTTCAAAGGGTGGCTGCATGGAGACTGCACAGCATGTGTCCACCAACACCGAAGGCCTCGTCAAGGAGGGTGGGCCATCGCATGGTGAGAAGAAGGAGGGAGGAAGCCCAGAAGAAAGTGCTTCGTTCCTGTGCCTGGGGACTCAGGCATGGAAAGCAGGAGGGCAGAGTCGCGCAGAAGCACATGTCCTCCAACACCCGAGAACAGGGACCACCACACAAACGCTCCAAAAGAAGGCAGGGAAAAGAAACAAAGAACAAACAGTACAAACAGAAAACAAATAGTAACATGGTAGACTTCAACCCAAATAGGTCAATAATTACTTAAAATGTTAACGGACTAAATAAACATTCCACAGAAAAGAGACATTATCAGGCTGGAAAAAGTAGGACCTACCTATAGGATACTTACAAAAGACACACTTAATTATGATTTTTTTAAATTTATTTAATTTTGAGAGACAGAGAGAGACAGAGTGTGAGCAGGGGAAGGGCAGAGAGAGGGAGACACAGAATCTGAAGCAGGCTCCAGGCTCAGCTGTCAGCACAGAGCCCGACGCGGGGCTCGAATCCACAAACCGTGAGCTCGTGACCTGAGCCGAAGTCGGTGACTTAACCAACTGAGCCACCCACGTGCTCAAGACACAATTACAGAGGTACAAATAAGTTAGACATAAAATACAGGAAAAGGTAATAGCACTCAGACATTCATATGGAAACTAGTGTAGCTACATTAATATTACACAAAGTAAGCTTCAAGATAAGGGGTATTGCTAGAGATAAAAAAGGACATTTCATAACAACAGAAGGGTCAATTCATGAAGAAAACATAATAATCCTAAATGTGCAAACATTTAATAACAAAGCTCCAACTGGCGGCTGGGTGGCTGAGTCGGTTAAGTGTCCAATTCCACTCAGATCATGATCTCTCAACTCGTGGGTTCAAGCCCTGCGTCAGGCTCTCTGCTGTCAGCATGGAGCCCATTTCAGATCCTCTGTCCCCCTCTCTTTCTGCCCTTCCCCTGCTCATAGGCTTGCACACACACTCTCTCTCTCTCTCTCTCTCTCAAAAATGAACAAATATTGAAGAAAAAGTAACAGAGGGGCACCTGGGTGGCTCAGTTGGTTAAGCTTCCGACTTCAACTCAGGTCATGATCTCACAGTTTGTGGGTTCAAGCCCCACATCAGGCTCTGTGCCGACAGCTGACAGAGATTACTTGCTTCAGATTCTGTGTCTCCCTCTCTCTCTCTGCCCCCTGTGCACTGACTCTCTCTCAAAAATAAATAAACATTAAAAAAATTGTTTTAATAAAAATAAGAAAATAACAGAGCTTCAAAATACATGAAGAAAATACTGACGTAAATAAATGGGTGTAGTTTCAATTGCATAAGGCGAAAAAAGTTATGGATGTGGATGGTAGTGATGGTTGCACAATATTATGAACATGTTTATGTCTATCTTATCATAACCAAAAAATAGAAAACATTATCAGCAATAATTAAAAAAATGCAAGTTAAAAATACAAGGAAATGTCATTTTTCATCTATCAGGTTGGCAAGGATAAAAAGTTGACATGGGGGCGCCTGGGTGGCTCAGTTGGTTAAGCGTCTGACTCTGATCTCAGTTCACGTCATGAGCTCAGGTCTTGATCTAGGGTCATGAGTTCAAGCCCCATGTTGGGCTCCATGCTGGGCGTGGAGCCTACTTAAAAAAAAAAAAAAAAAAAAAAAAAAGGAAAAAAAAAGGTGATACAACTCAGCATTGGTAAGGATGTGGGGAAGAGTCAGCAAAACACTGTTGATAAAACAAATTTGAATACACTTTTAGAAGGCAATTTTGTAATCTCTATTAATACGTAAAACTTGCATGGCCTTTGACCCAGAAATTCTATG